TTTTTTTTTTTTTTTTACCCAGAGAGAACCCAGACAGGAACTAAAACCTCTACCTCAGCAAATTTTAAGCCTGTGCTTTACAAGTAGCATATTTATCTTTCAGCTTCTTACTTCACATTTACATACTAAGCAAAAAGAAACTGCTCTAAACAGTAATTGTGGTAACAGTGGGGCATTCTATCATTTTCTTAAAGTAGAACTCCAGGCAAAATGTTTATTAACCCTTGCAGGATTAGAAAAACGTAGCCTTTGCCTACCTTACAGGATGCAAGAGTGTTCTTTAAATTACACCAGCACAAGTGTCATTTATTTGAGTATTATACAGTTACATTAAATTGGTGACTTTTTATATTTATCTTGGTCAAGCTTTCCACTTGCTGCTTTAGTTCTGCCTGAGCCTCCATTCTATCAGGAAATACCGCAACTTAATTTTATATCCAATGTAAGCAAAGTATGTAAGAACCAGGGTGGATAAAAAAAAAAAATTAAAAAAATCGGATTTTTTTAAATTTAAAAATCGGATTTTTTGGATTTATCAAATTTATTTTAACAAAAATGCTTTTAAAGTAAAAAATCTATCTAAAGATAGTTTTCTATTTAAGATACATTAATCATTTAGTTTATTCAGCATGAAATGGAGCTTAATTATGTAGCATGAGGCTGTATATTCTGCAATATTTACATTTTTGGTAAACTCATTCAATGAATTCAAGCTCTGCGAGCTGAGATAACATGCACTGCATTGATGCATTACTAAACATTGATGTTTAAGCAAATACAAGAATATGTAACAATGTTATTGTTTTAATTAAATAAAAGAACGAGTAGTTCTCCAACTATGTGTGATTAACCTAAAATCGGTTCTGATATCGCTGTTTTACTAAGCTTATTATTCTAAAGTAGGAAACCTTCATTTTGTTTGCAAATAATAATATTAAAGATTCTTACTACCGGCAAGAATGAGTCCTTACATTTAAAGAGCACTTTAGCGGGCATCCACTCACCTGCTGCCTGGCACGTCCCTCACCTTGTTGTGTCACTGCCACATCACCAGCCGTCCCATTAAAGTGAATGGGACTGTCGGTGAGTCAACAGCGGGTCAGAGGAGGAGCCGCTGCGGGACAGAGATGACAGTGTCTCTTTAAAAATTATGAATAAATTGAGTTGATTTAAATCAAGCCTTTTTACTAGTGATTTAAATCAAATCCACCCTGGTAAGAACTGATCCCCACTGGTTTAAACTGCCTGCTACCAGCTACTCTTATGTAGTGTTTGGTAGCAAGAGCAGAGGCACCGACAAACAGTGGTCCTACTGCTAAAGTCCATCAGAGCTGCTGTCATTCAGCTTATAGCCCGCTGTGCTGTGCTCCAGACCCAATTAGAGGAGCACAGTAGGCCACACGCCGAGTGTGGGCTGCTTGTTGAGCACCAACGCTTTAGACAGCTCAAATAGTTTATAGCTCATGTTCTTCTATAGGATTTTAGTATATGGTAAATTGCAATGCCCTGTTAGTTTTATTGTAATAAGAATACATTTTGGTCCTCTGGGGTTTTAAATAATTTTCTTTTAAAGATTTAGTATGTTATGTCTACTGCTGTACCAATCACTATTTAGAGCGGTTTGTTTTTTAACCTATGAAAACCTGTCAGGGGTTCCAAAACTCATTCCACCCAAAACGGAAAAAACAAAAAATGTGAATCTAGCCATTAAATAATTTAAACAGAGAGCTGGGCAAACAGAAGTCTAGACTGACCTGCCTCTGACCCCTTAAAAATATTAAGTCTAAAAATAATGCTAATATTAGGTACCCATATCATTCAAATTACTCTTTGATTGAAAAAAAAGTTTGTCACTAACAGAGCATATGGGTGATGCTAATGCTAAATGGACAGAGCAATAAGGGTCTAAGAGCAGTCAATAGGCGTAACGCAGTAAATTAAATTATTTTTATCAGAATAATCCCTATTTCCATGAGAACCAATAAGTCTAAAAATAAATAAAACATGGCTTTAAAAAATGATTATGCCAAAAAAATATATACATTCCAGTTTAGGAAAATCTGCATAAGCTGCAACATATGTAAATGGATTACCCATCATGGAACAAATTATCACCCAGTAGTTGGTATACTTTGCTGACCAGTAAAAGGGTCATAATGTGTTACTGAGCTTTGGAATGCATGAACTAAGGTTTTGTTTAACTTTCATTAACCTAAAGCACTTGTACAGCTTTAGTAGGACTGTGCAGTGATGTAGGTTCAAGGTGAAACTCAGGCTGAGTGAACTGATGCAGTCAAGCTGGAAAACAATATATGATGCAAAAGGACAGTATTGCATCAGTTCTAAGCAACAAGTTGGTCTAGTTTTACTGATTAGAGGGCATTGAGCAATAGTCAAGTGTGCATTAGAAATCGTGTAGTAGTGGGGGAAAAAAAAAAATAGTACAGGAAGAAGAAATTTAATAATATAGTGTGCTAGGTAATAGATAAGTGAATCTCTATGCTGAAGAACAGCTGAGCTAAATTATGAAATGCGGATGTGTGTTAGAAAGAACATTACTGTAAAAGTATGAATTGGCTTTTGTATTTGGAAGACTTACCCTTCTCCTGTAAGAGCACAGCATCCTTGAATATGCCACGCTCTGTCTTTTATAGCACTAAGTGCCAATGAAGCAGAAATTTCTGAGGCAGACATCGAGTCTTTCACATCTTGTTTGTTCGCATAGATTAACACAGCCGCATTTTTCAAGTCCTGCATAAAGATAAGCATTAGTTTAGGACCTCATTACACTGGATTTGAGAAATTAAACTCAAAGAAAGGAAACATATAATGCTGCTTCACAGTTTAGACAAAAATGGTTAGCTCATGCATTTACATTCCTGCATTCATCAACGCAAGCAACACAACATAGAGCTAATTTACACAACATCACCTTGCAATTCATGCTTGGCTTTGCACAACACACCTGCTGGGTGTGTACACACTACAAAGGTGTTTAGATTCCACTCATAGATCATGCTGGGAGGGAACACACTACAGAGGTGTATACATGTTCGTGGTGTGTTTATAAGGTTAGTAAATCAACCCCTGTATGTCTCTTCTGCCATAAAATCACTTTCCCTGTCCGCTAGCATTGTATCCAAATTGTATGCTGACAGTTAGAAATGCTCAACTCATTGTACAATCTTATCAATTGGTGTCAGGAAAAGGTAAATGTGTGAAAGCGCAGAAGTTACGTTATCTCTAGCTGGCCTGTAGAGACAGCTAAAGACTCTGGAGTTAATGGAAAACCAGGAGAAGAGGGCAGTGAAAGCAACAAGGGAAAACAAAAAGGGATATTATTGATGGAGAAGGCACCCCAATAACCTTAGTTCCGCTTTAACAACTTGTCATAGTAAGAAGCACAGGCACAGAGCACCCAACCATGTGACAAATCACTTTATTAACTTGCCATAAAATATATTTTTTTAAACTCACAAAAGGCGCCAACACTACAGCGCATGCAACTCTCCTCCAGTGTGGGAAGTGTACAATGTTGTGAAAAAGATAACACAGGACACTGCCGATCAGCTAGCTGGCATGCTACCTCACAGCCTGGCATCCGTGTTTGCGGCTAACGCGTTTCCGGGAGACAGGGTGGCTCTGAAGGGACGTGCCCTGGAAATGCATTAGCCACAAACAGGGACGACGGGTTGTGAGGCGGCATGCCAGCTAGCTGATCTGCGGTGTCTGTGTAATCTTCTTCACAATAAGGATTGTACACTGGAGGAGAGTTATATGCGCTCTACTGTTGGCGCCTTTATGAGTATATTTTTAATATGTATGGCAATTTAATAAAGAGATTCTTCACATGGTTGGGCGCTCTGTGCCTATGCTTTTTCCTAGCCTTATGTTATGAAGGTTTCCTGGTCCTTGTGAAGGAGCAGCACACTGTGCTAAGGATCATTTGTCTTCTTTATTGAGCAGGTTATAAAATATCAGCTGTCAACACTGGGAGTGAAGCAATATATGAACTTCTAATAGGAAGCCTGACATCTTGATTGTGGCTGCCACGGGTTACAACCACCAAGATTCCATTTCCTCCACTCTGCCTGCATTTACCCGAAATTTTATAAAAGTATGTTCTAAAAGACTTATTTAAGCAAGCCATTTAAAGTTAGAAGACAGCCTACCTCATGTGCCAGCATCTTGTACAGCTCCTCCCGGGTTTCTGGTAACCGCTCTCTGTCAGTGCTGTCAATCACTAAGATGACAAACTGAAAAATAAAATGAACAGAATCAAGAGACCCTTAGGGGCATATTTACAAATAAATGGACTTTCATTAGTAGTGGATAAATTAGTGTCATTTAAAACACATGTAACCAAGAAGAATGTGAATGCAGTGAATGCTTGATGAATGTCAGATTCACTGCTTCATAAATATACCCCTTAGCGAGAAAGGTATTTTTTTTAAAGAAAAATTAAAAATGTATATAGTATTCTTATTACTAGTCAGTGGTAAGAAAAGGGCCACTAGCACATGAGCACTAAAGCTGGGTCACCTGGTTCCCATTAGACTGTAAATATTACCTGGTACTGCACAAGCCATGTCATCAGAATATCTACATCTGAGCTCTTCCTAACCATTTTATTTGACCCAGAGGACAGGGGTGGAGAGCCTTGGTGGTGCATTTTTTTTTATAGATTTCTCAATTGCACATCTTGTACTTTTTATATTAGGTAGTCTACCTTGATAATTGTGGTGGGATAAATAAAAGGTTACCACAAACAGCACCTGGAACTCAAGTGGTTAAATTGAAACCTGCTATCCAACACCTTTGACTGTCTGGCTAAAACCTTTAGATGACAAACTGACAGAATCAGTAATCTTTTACCTTGATCAACTATAATAAAGTTGGATATACATTTCATATGGATGTTGGTACAAAAATTCTCATCAAAACATCAATAATGCCATCAGAGACTTGATGAATGTTGTGCGAAATTTGGTTTGATTTTAACATTTGGTTTTGTAATGAATGGAGTTTCTTGAACACCCGGGGAAAAAAATCCACCCTGCTCCTTCATTTTTTTTTGTCACCGAGATCAAAATTGTTTTTACCACATCAAAAATTTTAATATCGAATGAAAATGTTCCAAAAATAATTTTTTTCCAACTAAATTCTAACCATGTTTACCCAGCTAAAGCCTAATGGAGGTTCTAGCTGTAGATAAGACATGCTTCTTTATATTCTACAGAAAGTAAAAATGCCTTTCCTGCATTCATAATACTGAACATTTTTATAAAAGATGATGTTGGAGATTTTGGCGCAAGAGTCCGTAGGTTTGGGCTGAATTACTTGTTCTGTCATGGAAGTAACAGTGCAATAGTAGTAGATCTTACAGTGGGCCCCCAAATTTTGAAACAAATGAATGATTAGAGTAGCTTGGTCTATTATTTTGCAGACTGAAGGTTCAAAGTGAAAAGATCCTGAGATTGTTACCTCTGTGTTGGAGTAGTAACTATTCCATGTAGCGCGAAGGGTCTCTTGTCCCCCAATATCCCACATTAGAAAGTGTGTGTTCCGTAGCACAATCTCTTCAACATTACTGCCAATAGTTGGGGCTGTGTGCACCACCTCATTCATCAGACTGTACAGAACAGAAGCAAAAAAAAGGGTTAAGTTTTCTTGTAACTCTAAGTGCAGCAGTGTTCCAAGACAGTACATGAGAAACTGCCGCCAGGAACAGAAAAACACATAACTGAAAACACTTTAAGAAATTTCTACTGCAGAACTGGTTAGCAGCAAATTTGAACTGAAGAATATCACCTAAAGCAAAATGTAAACAAAAGGGAGGGAGCACAACATGGCACAGATTAAAGTGTATTCCCACTTTTGCAGACAAATTTGAGAAAAACCACTGAGTTTGAAAAAAGATCACCCCCCTTGTGTCAGTATTTTGTTGAACCACCTATTGCTTTCATTGCATATCTAGACTTTGCAATATTTGCCCATTCTTCTTTGCAGAACTGCTCAAGTTCAGTAAAATTTGATGGGGACCGTTTGTGGACTGCAGTCTTCAAGTTATTCCACAGATTTTCAATGGGGTTTAAGTCTGGGCTCTGACTAGGCCATTTACCCTTTTCTCCTTCAACCACTGTGTGGCAATTTTTGCCGTGTGCTTTGGGTCATTTCCATGTTGGAAAGTAAACCTTCTTCCCATTGAAAACTTTCTGGCAGAGAGCAGCAGATTTTCCTCAAGAATTTGATGGTATTTTGCCCCATACATTTTTCCTTCTATCCTGACAAGTGCTCCAGTCCCTGATGCAGAGAAACACCCCATAACAGGATAATACCACCTCCATACTTTACTGTAGGAATGGTGTTTCCGCCAGACATATCGTTTGGTGTGATATTGTTGTCACATGCACACAATGACCACTCTTTGTCATAAATTCCTGCAACTGCTTCAGAGTTGCTGTAGGCCTCTTGGTAGCCTCTCTGACCAGTTTCCTCCTGGCTCTTTCATCCAGTTTGGAGCGACATCCTGATCCAGGGAGGGTCTGTGTTGTACCAAATACCATCTACTTCTTAATAATAGACTTCACTGTGCTTTCTAGGCATTGATAAAGCCTTTGACATTTTTAGTATCCATCCCCTGACTTGTGTCTACAATTTTATCCCAGAGATCTTTTGACAGTGCCTTGCCACCCATAGTTGATTGTTTGCTTCAGTTGCACTACCAGGGACTGAGAGACTCCAGGAAAGCTCTTTTCATGCTGAGCTAATCAAAAATGACCACAGCTGATCACAGTTGAAAGTCAAATGGCTTTGTGTGCCATTGAGGAGGTAAATAGCTACACCAGATTGAGTTTACAAGTCATTTTTAGGAGGGGTGATCCCTTTTCCAACTCAGCGATTCTGTTTTTGAATTTTTTTATGACATGTTGGTGTTATATCTTTCACTTTGATGTTATAGGTTGCACTGAGTAAATACAGCTGGTTAAAACAAAAACTGTGTCTGTCTTCATTTCAGGCAGCAAAGCAACAAAATGTGATTATTTTAAAAAGGGGGGTGATTCTATACCCACTGTATATATTTATTATTTTTTTAGATATGGGGTGTGGGGGTTTTCTGAAAATAATATAAAGGCTAAGGTCACATTGCTATGCATGCACATAACAGTTTTCCACATTTTAGAGCAACACGGCAAAGAACCTCATGCAGCTGTTTTGAGCTGGGAGCTCCTCATGTTTTTGCATGCGCCAAAATGCACATCTTGCTTACACATTCGGGGTTCCATTAACAAAAATGGCACAGCAAGCATTTAATTAACACATGCAAAACCATGCTATATTCTGCACATTCACAAGTACAGCAAGTATAAATAGGACCTAAATGTAAAAAAAAAAAAAAGTTAATTTTTGCTTTATATTAAAGTGTATGTAAACCCTAACAATGAAGTTATCTTATTTGCTCCTTTTTGGTCTTTTAAATATACTATTGAAAGCTTTTTGTTTTTTTAGATCTGTTCGATAAGTGTAAAAACACAGTATTATCAACAAGTATGGTATAACTACAGAATACCTCCCCCTTTGTTATGCAGAAAAGGGTGGGGATCCTGGTTTTCTAACACTTCCTGTGCTAGGGTGAAAATGCTTCTCCTCCAAAAAGAATTGGGGACAATATAATGCCCAGTGTCCTTTTTTCAGCATATCATTAGTAGCCATATGCTAACTAGATAAGCGTCTTTCACTTCCTCTACAACCCTAAGGCCATCTGCTGGGGAAGGGCTATAAATACTCACAACTGGTATAGGATGGTGGTTTTCCCAGCATTATCCAAGCCAACAATGATTACTTTGTGCTCTGTAGAACAAATGAATAAAGAACAGTATTACTTCATTATTGTGGCAACAACATAGATAGAAAAGCAATGAAGTGAAGACATAAAATGGCATAACAATTACAACTTCTTGAAGCAGCAATTTTAGGATCAGTCGTGACCTTGGCAAAATGTGGACTTAAAAGACCAACTGCAGCCAAAATCTTTTCAATTCAGTTTTGCACAAACTGACAAAAGTATGACAAAAGTCATACTTTATTAAACATAAAATTAACCTGTACACACGCCACAAATTCCTACAACTGCGGACCACGTCACCAATAAATGCCAATGTTGCAGCAGACTCAAGCATGCAAAAAATCAGCCTTTTTACATGAGTACAAGAACGCTTCAGCATTGGAAGAGACTATAATTGCATGCATGGATTTACTGATTATTGGTAAAATTCTCAGAAACCAATTGTTGGCTGCTCCCTTTTCTGTTAGGAAAAGAGAATAAAGCTTTTACCATGCATACACCACAGCCAAGTTAAACAATAAAAACAGTAAAAAGTAGCTAAATGTCTTAGTCCTGTTATTCTCAATGCAAATTCTGCCAGTCAGTGGGCCATCCCTAGAGTAACCCAACCAATTGCTTGTTCCATAGAAAACAGAAGGGGATCTGCTGCTAACGGACACCACAACAGCAAAACTGACAATCATGTCATGTCTCTGAGTACCTTAGAAAAATAACAGTAAATTTGGCAATAGAGCTTGCCATTCTTTACACACACTTTAGTAGGCATTTATATGCAAAAAGAGATATAATGATATAAAAATAGTAAGGTCTCATTCCCTCTGACAGGATCAAACCTGCATTTATATGTATTAAGAGCACATTTATGAATGCATATAAAATGCATGTCATTGATTTTCAAAGTTATCATTCAAACTTTGCGTTTGGAGCGCCAGGAGTGCCAGTGTTTATGAGGCCTTAAAGTATATCTAAATTGAAAAACTTCTCACTTTTGGATAGAAAAGGGAATGCTTAAAGCCAGTAACATTTTTACCCTTAATTTCCTGTCCTGTAGAAACATCAGGAAGTAATAGGAATTCTACCCAAAGCAAGGGAAATCCTCCCAGATAGCTGTCACCACAACAAATGTACACAATGGAAGATTTGGGGCATTCACACATGTAAAAGACCCATAGGGAAGAACAGACTGAGGCGCGCAATTACACGCAGAACCTTTCCCTTCCCTGATCGGGTTTTTTTAGGGGCATGCACGCCATACGGACATGTAAGCCTGTCTGAATGAGTGCTTACCCTCTATTCCTGTTCCTGTTTTAACTCAATAATTTAGAGCCCTGGGGACAAAAGGTCACTAGGCTAGGTTCAGACCTCAGCGACACCTGGTACGCGCATCCCGGGGCCTTGCGATCGTGTGCTAGTGCACACAGCGGTTAACGCGCAGCCCCATTGATTTCTTTTAAATATTCAAATTTTATTATTAATTTTCTGGGGGTCCGGTACTCCTATCTTAAGTCCCTTGGAAGTGTCTTAACCTTCTTTTTCAATTTTATTTTTAATTTAATTCCTGATTCTGACTATTCCTATTCTGTCCTGCTGTGGCACAATATCCCTTCTATTATTTGTTAGATGACATTAACATGTAACAGTTCCGTCTTGTGTCCTATGGGTTCCAGATGTCAGCCCCATTGATTTCAATGGGGTTACAAGCGCGAGGCAATTCGATAAAAAAAAAGTACCTGTTTTTGCGAGACACGACACGTGGCTTTTTAAGCCGCGATCCTGTTCAATTGCACAAGTGGAAACCGTGTGATCCACCCGGCCAACTAGGGTGCCAGTAGAAAATAATGTCACCTAAAGCACGATCGGTGACTTCGTAACTGCCCGGCAATCCACGCAGTTTTGTGCAAAATTGCCGCGCGGTTAGGAGTTACCCAGGTGTGTACCTAGCCTAAAAGTGTATTTCCACTTTTGTAACAAAACTGGCATAACACCCAATTTATGTTTGATACATGTTCCCAATCACACAGCATAACTTTATCAGTTAACTAGATGTACAGGACAGCATGTCCTAACAAATGGTAAAGCAGCACTCTTGGTAAAAATGTTAGTAACCCTTGCAGTGGGGCTATCCCCGTACTGCAAGGGTTAAATGCTCATTTTTGTTTAGGATCAAAAATAAAAATGTTATACTCACCCAATTCTCTGAGCCAGCAAGCTCTTAGACTGGTCCCTGGAGCCTCTCTCCCCCTCCACTGCAGCAGTCTAAGGTCCCTCAGTCATCACATTCTATATACAGTGTATAGGACGTGAGAACGCCAAGGGACATACCATCGCTACAGCACAAGAGAGAGGCTGGAGGGAGTGCTGTGACAGCCAGCTGGCTTGGAGGATTGGGCGAGTATAACTTTATTTTTCACCCTAGTCAAAAACAATCACTTAACCCTTGCAGTGCAGGGGTAGCCCCACTGCAAGGGTTAATAAAAATGTTACTGTTTTCTTTAAGAAGAACTCAAAACATTGTATATAAAGCTGCCCATACACTAATATTTTCATTGTTCAACCTGCAGGCTGAACGAAGAAAATAGAACAGATTCCTCCATCAACACTTATGGGCGTTATGATCAAGGAATCTCCTGTTTTCACAGTCGAGTAAAAGCCGACAGCTCATTGGCTGCTAGCTCTGCTTAGCCGACAATTTTCCAACACGCTCCTTCGATCAGCTAATCGAGGGATGCCAGTCGGAAATGTGCCGAAGCAGCACACACGCCTCAAATTTTGGCTGGTTCATCAAGAACCGCACAAAATGTGCATAATTTATGGCCAGATTTAGACATACGTTTGTAAAACATTGTATGTTTCTCAGTCTGTCCCTTTTCTCTATACTGTCACCTTTTCACAGGAGTAAAAACTGCCTATGCAGTCCCATGTATAATCTGCTCCAAAGAAACAAACTACAAATGGTAAGGATGTTTTAAAAAAATATCTTAGGTATTCTGTGTGAATGGGAGAACATACACATATAGTTGAGTTTCTCAAACTTGTCTACAAAGCGGGAATACACTTTAAGGGCCCTTGGCAAACCTTATTTTCCTCCTCCCCTTTAGGTCTCTAGTAGGAAAAGTCAGACAGATGTGGAGAGAAAGGAATGTAAGCTATGTCTGAACTGTAAAAACAATATGGGCTGGAAAGACGTTTTGCGAGAAGCAGAAGAAAGCCCTGTAACAGCCACCCCCTCCCCAACCATGGAAAAACACCACAGTATAAAACCCATTGAAAACCAACTGCTCTCAGATAATAGCCTGCAGCCAGGGAAGAGTTTCAATACACAAGAAGTGGGGGGGAGTCATAGAGCAAACACCAGCATGTAAGGGAGACGTTACATGAGGGTAAAGACCACACATGAAAAAGACAAGAGAAAGAGTGGATTCTATAGCCTGTAAAGCACCTCCCATGACCTCCGACTTTCAGTGCCGGAGAAGGCAGTGTAGGCAGTCAGAGGCTTTTGTAGAACTATAAATCCCAGAATGTCTTACCAGCTATAGGCTGGAATTTGTTTCAAACCAGAATTGCTGACACTGGGAGCAGAAGATAAAGAATACTTACAAGTCCACAATGTTTACATTAGAGAGAGAGGGAACATTAATAAAGAATGTTATTATGTGTAAGGCCCCATGCACACAGGAATTAAAACACATGCGTCCAGGTGTGTTTGGAGGCCATTTTTAAATGCACTTGGAAGCATGTAATGCTTTGCTATGATTGAAGACGCACCTATACGTTCAGCAGCCTCTAGGTGCATTCAGTCTAGCTGCGTTTACACCAGGGTTGGGCAAACTCCAGCCTGCCAGCTGTTGTGGAACTACAAATCCCATGAGGCATTGCAAGATTCTCACAGCCATAGGCATGACTCCCAGAAACAGATGAATTTGTAGTTTTACCACAGCTGGGTGGCCGGAGTTTGCCCACTCCTGGTTTACACAAACAAGTATCTTCTGTATCCTGGACCATTTATCAAGGTGTACAAAGCTAAAAGCATGTACATGTGGGTAAACCCTGAAACATCTAAGCACAGGAAAAAGATCTGGAATGCATAAAAGTTGTTTACACGTCTCAGATAACTCATCCTGAGTACAACACAGGAGACCAGTGTGCATGAGGACTTAGCCTACAGAGTAGTTGGTCTTTCAAGAGGGTTGTATGGAAATATTTTAAGAAAAGACTGTATAGCGAATACTTGTTTTTGTTTTGGATAGAGTATAAAGGGTTTTAAACCCCTTTTATGCTACATGTGTCACATTGGGAAACTTTCCCTTCACTTCCTGTCTCAAAGACACAACAGGAAGTTATAGGAAATCTACCAAATTGAAGGGAAGTCCCATATTAGGCAGTTGTCCCCAATAGGATTTACCTTTTACATTTTATACTGGGAACAACTCTAACATTAATTTTGGATTCCCCCTAACTTTCTTTTTCGACAACAGAGATTAACAGTACAAATAGATGGCTGTATATTCCCAATGGGGACACATACAGCAAACAAAAGAAACTTGACCCTGGATGATCTAAACCTTCCCCACTCTATTCACAGCCAGAAGAAGGTTTTGCCTAGAGATGCTTTATTATTCTAAGTAATGAGGAAGCTTCAATACAGTGTAGAAAAGTTTGAAGACCTGCAAAGACAACTGCTAGACTGTAAGAGAAAGTAAGGTAATCAAAGCTACGAATAGGAGATAAATGGTACCCACACTACACTATTGTTATAAATAGTCAGCAGACTGCTGTAGTTAGATGACCTGCACAGAGCATATATGGTAAAAAAAAAAACAACTTACCTTTATTACCGAAAATGCTCATGAGTTTAGTAAACAGTTGCCCCATTGTTATCGATCGGAGCGGCAGTCCGGTTTAACAATCGATAAGACTAGATCGCAAGCCTGGAAGACACCAATTCGCTCTATTCCAGGCAAAGGCTGGCCATAGCATTTAAACACACGTGACGTCACCCAAGCCACTCCCACACGTTCTTTCCGGGGGAGTCCCATGACGTTGGTCTCTAGGTGTGATGAAGAGGGCGTGGCCATGCACATACGTAGTGTGTGTGATACTGAGGCCTGGTGAGCTCATGAAGCGACACTGAAAAGCGATTTCCTTTCGTATTAGCATTTCCGTTTCTGAATTGTTTTCGTTGTTTACAGAAAACGCATTCCTGTGTCGTGAATGACTCAAGTGAGGACAGCTTGTGCTGCGCGTGTTACTGTGAGGCCTTCTAAGACATCTTACATAATACATACCTCCCATCGTTCTGAGATGATAAAACGAAAAAAAGAGCCTGGTAGTGTAACACACAAAAGAGAATGCCCGTGCCACAGGCCTGATCATACATACCATGAAAAGTAATCACTTGAAGTGAAACGCCAACAATTTTTATACTTTAGATATATACACTTTGTGATGTGTGTATCTCTTTGTGGGAATTTTCTCCTCACTTGTTATCCCAGAGAAATAACCGAGAGAGGAAAGTTCCCTAAAATGATGGGAACTCCCTCATGTGACTGTTGACTGTAGTCACTGGTAAAGAAATTCCCATTGCAAGATTTGCTCTGTGCAGAACAAAAAAAAGTATTCAACAGGTATACAGACACCAATAAAAAAAAACGGGGTGTTTCCATATTTTCAAGTAGTAATAAACTCTCCAACTTTTTTTTCAGTAATAAATCCAGATCAAACAAATACAGATTGCCCAGAAAAGTATTTCTTTACTTTTTTTTTGTCCAAGCACTTACAGTCATCAAGGGGAATATATCAAATTGGAGCAGACAAAATCTGGAGGAGCTGTACTGGGCAATAAACCAACTTCTCTGTTTCATTTTCAAAGCTTAACTAAACAAACTGAAGAGAGAAGCGGATTGGATTGGTTACTCTGGGCAACTGCTCCAGATTCTGTCTGTTCCAGTTTTAATAAATCCCCCCTATCATGTGTCTGAACAGCTAGTTCCGACTCTCAGCTCGGCTTCCCTAAACTTCCAGTCCAGTACAAGATCACAAGGGACAGAGCGGACTCCCGCAGATGTCCATCTACTAGGTTGGAGAAGGGGAGGGTGGATCGCCTTGCTGTGCCTTGTGTGTTTGTGGGGACACACAGCTTACTAGTGAAACAAATGGCAAACGCACTCATCAATTCATAACCAGCTTTAAAGCAAGGTGCACATGGAAGGGCTTTTAAGCAGTAAAAAAGCAAACATTCCCAGCACACTTACCAGCCAGCCTGCAACAAAATTACACTGTCTAACCATTAGAGTTAAAAACAGGTTTTAGTTGCAAACTTTTGCAACCCATGTGGGAGCCACACTGCCCCATCAAGGCCCCTCTGTATAGTGCAGTCCAAACTCTAATCTATGAGAGCCTCCATCTTGGAGCATATTTATAGCAAAGGATGAATTGGGTGCAGGTTCGCTAGGTGGTAGCCCAACCTCCTTAACTGCCTCCGGGCCGGCTGTATCCTGGCCAGGAAGGGGGTCTAAACACCTGGTCTTGAAGTGGTTAAAGGCATAGGGACAAACAAGGAGCCCTATGTAATTTTTTTGCAGCCTGGCTGGTGATGTGCCGGAAAAAGTACATGAGCTTCTTTTTGGCTGATCTCAGTTCGTTTTGGCCCCATATACTAAATAGGAAACGTTTGAAAACGCCCGATGCAGTTCGTTTTGTCCATTGACTTCATTGTATCACAATCTGCTCATGAAAACGCACGTAATATATGTGCATATACGAGCGTATAAACATGCAACAACGCACATAAACGTGCAGAAAAAAGCATGCGTTTTTACATGCGAAAAAGCTAACGCTTAGGTGTGAATCCAGTCTTAAGGTGTCTAGGACCATCCTGCTGATGCCTTATGGAGCATACAGCAGGCATACTGCCCAATGGTTGCAGTCTAGGTGCTCAGTTCCTCAGTGCTAGTATCATATGAAATGTGGTGCTGTTTTTCCTTTGTGCCAGGCTGTTCCTTGTGGACATGAGCCTGCCATGCTGCTTGGGTTGTTAGCACAAGACGCCACAGCTCTCTGCTGCATGGTTAACTCTTCAATGAGTTACTCCACTGCACAGCTCCATCCTGGGCCTCCGCTGCCATTTTGTGTTTTGACACACAGCACTCCTTCCTCGGCCATGAGTGTAGTACGCATGGTGGATCATACAAAAGAACAGCTAGTTGGGGCCTCACATATATCTCTGGCCCAGAGGACAGTGCTATCACCTTGGGTGTATGGTCACTGCTTTGCCCATGTGTTGCTCCTGGACTGCTACACTGCTTCCAGGGCTACTCCATCTTCCCCTTCCAGGGAAGCATTCACTGCCATCATGCCAGATTTTTTCTCCTCCCTCAGAGGCTCCCTCTGACCCTCCCCTCTCTGCTCTCATGCTGTCCGAGGCAGAGGAGAAAGGGGAGGGGGAAGTGGTTGTCCAGTTCGGACAATTCAGCATCATAAGATGACCTTTTTCCTGACAGTTACCCTAAACTCAAGGATGCCATTTCTGTCCTTGTGGACACACAGCATACATGTTAAGCCTATTACATTAACCTTGCAAAGTTCAGTAGTCTGCGGTCCTTGAAAATGCCTTAATCCTGCAAAAAAAATTTCTGTTTAACAAGTGGGGGAGGATGACATTTTTTCAACCTTACCTGCACTCTGGGCGAGGGACATTTCTGACACCTTTGGTTGTTTCCAAGGACCACAAAACGGGTTTTCTTCCCTGCCACCATAGAAGCAGCAGCATCAAAAGTAAAAAATGGATGACGGCATTTTAATAAACAATCAAAGCTGTAATGCATATGGATTTTTTTGTCATTAAAGGTGAACTAACCCCTTAAATAGACAAAAAACAGTTACAAACCTTTAATACAGTGTTTAAAATAATATTACTTCTTCTGCTACACCACTGAAATATTCATGTCACCAAGGTTTCTGGGAATCTCCTAAGCTACTGGGAAGTACCTAAACTCTGTAAACCTGTCTTGGCTTACATTGAAACACAGATCTACTCTGAGTCCTCCCAGTTGCTCATATACTGGTTCAGCCAGTTACAGCACAGTTTAAAGGAAACGTGCAAAGCTCTGAGGCATGAATATGTTCTCTCAACCCAGGAACATTCAGTTCAGGAAACCTGCAGTCGTAAACATAACAATGGTGATTGTGATACGAGTGCTTAGACCAGGCATGTCAAGCTCATGTGAAACAGTGGACTTAAAGCGGACCTTTACCCATATCTTATAAATAACAACAAACTTTTTTAAAACTTTTTTATAGGGCTGTGGAAATTAAAGATTAATTTCTCGATTAATTTTATTATTTTGATCGCTAATGAAAACACTCACCTCTCCCCTGGCTTCCGGGAGTCCCGTCGGCGATCCGGTGACGTCACGGACATCGACGTCACCGGATTCCCCCCCCGATGTTCGATTAATCGAATTTTTTTTAAATAGACTAATCGATTAATTTCGATTAATTATAACGCACATACAGATCCAACTACATTGGCCTATACAGATACAGCACAGCAATGAAGTAATAAAATGAACTAGGATCACACTAATCCAGCACGTTATTAATCTCACGTGCCCCACTCAATATGGCCGCCGCTTGAGTGGGGCAACTCAGATTAATAACGTGCTGGATTAGTGTGATCCTAGTTCATTTTATTACTTCATTGCTGTGCTGTATGTGTATAGGCCAATGCCTTGGCTGGCGCTCGTGCAAAAAGTTCCTTGGGCAAACTCACCGGCCTAAGTGGCTCCGTCGGCTAACGAAGGGGGGAGGAGTCCTGTGACGTCACGGACATCGACGTCACCGGACTCCTCACCCTTCCCTTCGTTAGCTGTCACGGACATCGACGTCATCAGACTCCTCTCACCTTCCCTTCGTTAGCTGTCACGGACATCGACGTCATCAGACTCCTCTCCCCTTCCCTTCATTAGCCGACTGAGCCACTTGGGGAAGGGGGGGAGGAGTCCAGTGACGTCGATGTCCGTGTTGTCACCGGATCGCCGACGGGACTCCCGGAAGCCAGCGGAGAGGTGAGTGTTTTCATTAGCGATCAAAATAATTTTAATCGCTCAAAAAGTTTAACGATTAATCGAGAAATGAATCTTTAATTTCCATAGCCCTACTTTTTTTAACTTTTTTTTTTTCAGACTGCCCAAAATTCGACCACTGTATGGGCACCTTAAGACTCATGAGGTGGGTCTCAATACCGTTCCAGCAGACATCAGGTGGAGACTAATTTCTGGTACCTGCTGACTACTGTGAGACACCAGGACAAGGACATTCAACTATTTACATAGTCCTAATAAGCAATACAAATGCTTGAAATTAAGCCTTTACTCACCTTTGTATCTGCAGGCACCATGGAGTAATAAATCCTTAAATATACACACAGTGGGTACAAACCCGGCATCGCCAGCATCAGGAACACTTGCTCCGGATCTCCTCCTTGCTGCTCCAGGTCAACGATGCCCACCTTTTGACACTAGGTTGGCATCTATGCAAAGCCACACTTTGTGTTATTTGCAGCTATGCCACAAGCACACTGTACATTTGGAAAACGCATTCTTTAGCTCATATGACACAGCCAGAGGAAGCCTGGAATGACTTCCTTAACTCTGCCTGGCTATCTCCATACTTCTATGGGGGGAGGGGGGGGGGGGTGAATCCTGTTAGTAAGTTTTGGCCATTTTATTGGGAAATAACCAGAAAATGATTGTCAAAAAGCCATGGGGAGCTGGGCATTGAGATATGGGGCCAATACCCAATGTACTGATACAAAAAAAAAATACTGTACAGCAGGGAGAGATTCTTTTTATGTGGCTTGGAAGGCTACATTGAAAATACACATTGAAATCCTTTAATTACAGTGGCATTATGAAATGCTTTTTTAAAAAACACCGACCATGTACTCTGGCTGGGCATATTTGACTGTAGTATAGAATTTTTTTTAGCATTC